GGGGAACCCTGGAATCTAGGGGAGAATGACTGGTATGGGGGGCGAAAGGAGCCCCTCCGAAAGGGCTGGGACCCTCTAGACTCCTGCCTGCGAAAAAGCGAAGGAAGAAACTTCTTATTTCGAGTTTCCAAAAGCAAGGGTTCAAGGGCAGGCCCGAACAGCTTCCCTTCTGCCAAGGGGGCTGAAGCCAACTTGGATTTATTTTTAACATCGGCCTGCCAATGCCGAAGCCAAAGTAATCTCCTAGCTGTAACATGGGAGGAGATGGCCCGGGAAGCGAACTTAACCGAATGAAAGGTGGCATCAGCCGCGAACTCCGCCGCTGCTGTGATTTTTGCAATATCCTGATGGGCCCTGGTATTAGTCGGGGGGATATGCTGCTTGAGCTGCCTGAGCCACTTGATGGAGGAACGGGTGAAAAAGGAGGCGGCCGTGGCCGACCTGATGGCCCAGGCATCGGACTGGTGAGCTCGCCGAAGAGCCATCTCCGCCCGCTTGTCCTCTGGCTTCAGCGCCTCCAACGCATCCGTAGGGTTGGAAGAGGAGGTCAGCCTCACAATTGGATCGTCTACCTCCGGGGTGTCTAACATAGAAGAGAATGCTGGGTCCAGATTAAACATCCTCTTATCCTGACTAGAGGGGGCGGGTGTAGGACCCACCGAGGCCAACTGCTTCGCAACCAAGTCTGAGAAGATTGGGGGGGCCGGAATAACTTCTGCTTCCACAATCGGTTGCCTGAACATGAGGTCATCTGGATCCTCCGAAGTCGATGGCGGTGGATCAGAAGGAGATTGAGAGGCCAGGCCTGAGCTATTCTTAGCCTTAAATAATAAGGACTTAAATAACTGGGGTTTAAAGAGGCCCACAACCGTCGGTTGTTCGGGAGAAATGCCCTCGTCCTCTGACATTTCCCCCTCCATAGGGTCCCCGAGAAGGAAATCAGAATACTGCGAGGACCCCCTCTCAGAGCCTTCCTCCTCCCCGAAGGGCTCAAAGCCCATTTCCTCCTGTTCCTGCGAGACCTCCTGAGGCTCCTCCCCTCCTGGGGATGGGGCATCCGTATGAGAAGGTACCTGACCCTGCTGGGGCGCCTGCCCGGAGAGAGATCGACCAGATAAAGATTCAACGTCGGAAGTCCTCCCTCGAGAACCAGGTCTGGATAGCTGCTGCATTCCATCAGCTATACCCTGACGGATAGCAAATTGCATCCATTCCCTGATACTATCAGGGATGATGGTTGACGGCGGCTCCTCAGGGCGAAGACCTGCAGCGGTTGGCGTGAAGGTCGCCTCTGGAGTACGGGATGGCTGGCGGCTCCGGGTGGATGTACTGCACCTGGAGGGGGAAGAACGACTCGCCAGGGGAGGGGGATGGGCAGAGGTAGAAGGTGGGGTAGTTATAGTGTGCAGTTCTTTAGATCGTTTGCTGAACTCCTTTTCCAGAGCTTTGTGACGCCTTAAGGCGTCCTTTTGGGAAGCACTGGAGGAGTCCTTGTCCCTCTTACGAAGATAGTGCGTCTTCGATTTGGCCTTCAGGGAAGAGCCAGTTGGATTGTTCTCTGCCATGGTATCAAGGAAAAAAACCTTACAACAAATATGGCGGTTGGCACGCCTAGGAGTTCGGCTTACAAACGCAAACCGGTTTTCCCAAATCAGATCACGTCCCCCTTTGAATAAAAATTTTTTTTATTATTTTTTATTTTTTATTTTTTTATTTTTTTTATTTATTTTTTTTTTTTTTTATTTATTTATTTATTTATTTATTTATTTATTTATTTATTTGTTTGTTTGTTTGAATTTGAATTTGAATTTGAATTTGAATTTGAATTTGAATTTGTTTTTTAAAACACCAAGTACTAAAAAACACAATGAGAAAACTATCCAAAAATATCTACACAAAAGCTTGCTGGAATATATTATAAAATAACTAATAATAATAATTTCTTTTCTCCTTTTTTTTTTTTTTTTTTTTTAAGGGCGGGGCCCAAGGACAGGGCCAAATAGGCACAAGGAGAAAATAATAATAAAAATTATTAAATACAAATCCAAATGAGCCGAATGAACGCAGAGGCCAAAAAATAAGGGAAGCAAAATAAGTATAATAGGTAGGCCTCTTTAGGCAGCCTCCCAACACAATGGGAAGTACGTGCCCGCGCCTCTGAACAAGCTGATTGATACAGACAGAAAAAGCCAACAAGAAAAAAAACCTCTAAAGGAAAGACAGCAGGGCCGGAACCACAGTGTCCTCCAATAAAAAAAGGGGGCTCCACGCGGCCTGACGGTCCCGCTTAGGGCCTCAATCCACACAGCTTAAATCCAAAAACAAAAATTACACACAGCCAGGAAAAAATATTATTTAAAATAAAACAAAATGGCGCCGGCCACGAGGCGGTTCCAAAATGGCCGCCCGGCACGACGCGAGGCAATCAGAGGCGCACCAGCCCTATTCGCTTACCAGGCAATCAGGAACAACGAAAAGCCAGGGCTGGGAGAGGAAGCGTTGCTTCCTCTAAAGCGTTCTAGGGGGGGAATGATAATAGTGCAATAAATCAAGGCACGGAGACAAGCGGCTGGATAAAGGCACGCTCGGAAATGCAGAGAAAGAGAAGAGGGGTGGGGGGGGGCGAAGTAAAGCTCCGAGCCCTTAAACCCCTTCCTACAGGCAAAAAAACGCCTCACCAATTAAATTTAAGAGCACACTATCAACGCAGGGACAAGGAGGAAAGGAATAAAGGCAAACCTGAACACTTAGAAGCAAAAAACTCTGAAAAACGGCCAAGGAACAAGAGATCGCTGCCTGCTTTCTCGAAGGCTGAGTGAAAACAGGGAGAACGCATGGAGGAGCCACGTGGAGGAAGGAGGAGCATTCTTCAATTATAACTCAGCCTGTGAGAAGGAAGGACTGAAGCACCTCCCACTCTCTGGATGCTCGCAGCAGTTCTACGGAGAATGATTATATACTTTACACCCTCTCTCATGCTAAAATTACAATTTGATGCTAACTTTGGGGAAGTTACATCATTGCAAACTAACTGCAAAACTCTATACAGAAAATGTGGTTTCTGAATTTAAGGATCAAATAATTTTTGATTCAATACAAAATATATTTAACTTAGATTTAGCTAGTATCTCTCAAGACTATTTGATATATTTTAAAATTATCTGGTATTTTATAATGTACATTTTATATTTAAGAGTTAAATACCACGAATAAGAATAATTGTTCTTTTCACTAGAACACTGATCTGTGAGCATATTTTTCCTACAATAGTGTTTGAATAGAAAAAGGAAGATCTGTTAAGTAGCTACAACTTAATAAACCATCTAACTGGACATTTTGTCAGCTGAAAATATACTTTTTTCTGAAGATATATGTAAAATGTAACTCTTCTATAATCCCCTTCATCCAACAAATATAATTTATAAAATAGGAAAATGCAATTTGCAACACAGCCTGCACATTATCTGTGCCAGAAATATGCTCAGCCCTTAAGGACAGGAGGTGACACTCTGCCATCTACCCAAAGCCTCAGCCTCAGCCTCTGACATAAGGGATTTGGACCTGGTGTTTCCCTCTCAAGTAAAGGCTGCCTTTGCAATTGCAAAGGCAGGAGAGGCAGTGACTTGAGTCCGTCCTGGCTGAGGATTGAGTCGAAAGCTGGGAGAAGACAACCAGAGTGGGCGGAGCTAGGCTAATCAGCCTTTTAGACAGACTCAGTCCAAGCAGCTAGGACGAGAGCAACCCAATCACCTGACCTGTCGCAGCCTTACAAGAGAGAATAGGAAAATGCAATTTGCAACATTGGCTAAGAGTGCAATGTCAATTGTACATATATTGAAAAAGCAAGAGTTTGGAAATGATGGTTACAAACTTCCTTAATTTTAAAATTGAAACTTTCAGTTTCAACCAGCTTTTAATCTATTAAAATCCTGTTGTAAAAAATGTTCAATTAAACTAACCAACAGATTTTTTTTGAAGGCATGCACTTTCTAAAGTATTTGGAAAGCAGATGGTTGTCCTCATTATTATGAACTAATGTACCTTTTAAAATAGTTGTATGGTTTGTCTAAAACTGGTAGCCTTTTTTCAGAGTTAAATAGATCAATTAACTGAAATACATACAATGAACCAACTAAGCAACTGATGCTTTATTAACATATAAGCAGGAAGCAGACACATTAATACAGCTTCCTTCCCAAATGAAAAATAGCTGTGCTCTTAACAGCTGCATCAGTAAGATAATCCGATGTGAGGCTTTCATTATGTGTATTTCCTCTTTTAATAAATATATTTCTGACATGGATCAAAGGGAAATATGTAATTTTCTTAACAAGGTAAGGGCCCTGCAGATTGACCTTGCATTCTAATGACTATGCTGATATTATAATAATCTTTTCTTGGCAATAAATCAAGTCATTTGCTATTGCCTTCTTCCAGGATGTTTCTTTCATTCTTTCCCCCCCTAATTTCCCAGTTTGTGGCCTTGGGGTTTTCTGGCAGTTTCCCATCTAAATTTTAACAGAACTGGTTTATTGAACTGTTTTAAATTAGCTAAATTCAGCAAAGTGCCTCTAGTCACTGTATATCTAGTAAAAAATTAATGATACTATACTTATATGAAACTAGACACTGGAAACAGGAAATAAATGTATTTCTCAAATATTATCATAATCATGTTCTAAAAGAATATTCTCAAAATGACTGAATGTTTAGTATAACCAGTTTTCAAATCCAAAAAAGTGGAGCAAAGTACACTATGGAGAATCTGAAATCCTAAATGAATTTTACTTTAGCATTGCAAAGAAACACAAATACATTTTTTCCTAAAGGAAGATGTTTCTGATCATGTAATTCAAAGGAAATTAAATAACATTGCATTATTATTTATTAATTGTATGTTCACCATCCCTAATACAGTAAGGACACCCTCCCCAATGAAATCTAAGAATCAAGAGTCAACAAAGAAAAGAACATCGACAAGGAAAAAGCAAATTTCTTACCTTTTTATCTCTGGTCCTTACTTCCCCATAAAAATCTAGGGCTTCTTGTGCCTTCTGAAACCTTCCTCGATGTAACAAATAAGCACAAATCATTACACCAGTTCGTCCCTTTCCAGCTTTACAGTGGATTGCTGCAACATGATTGCCATCTTCACTAAGCCATCGATCAAGATCTTCACAAAAAGGTTTGATGAGCTCTAGCTGTGGTGGGTTGTGGTCTTCAAAAGGGTACTGTGCAACTATAAAGCAAAAATTGTATTATTCAATTGAACACTAATTTTCCAATATATTTGTAGTATTCCTTGCTAAAAAATCTGTTATTTAATTCCTTAAATAAAAAAAATATGGGTATTTTTAAGTCTAACTCTATTAAAGATTGCCATGTACGGCTTATTTTAATAATACTGACTTCACAACTCAAAATCTTCCTGGCTCCCCATTTCCTCCAGGAAACTCCAATGAAAAAAAATCTAGATACTGAAAACTATCTGCAATTTAGTCTAAATAATCTATCTGACCATTTAGGGTTGTTTTTTAAAAAATAGTTAAGAGATATACCCATGGCTTTGGTTTTACATGTGCGCAGAAACAATAATTTCAACTAGATGTAAAATATGATTGGGTTTCATATGAAACATCTTTAAACTCATTAACACCCTCTGTCAACTTTTGCATTTAGAACCAGCAACACAAATAGAAGAGTCTGTTTTTACTCTTGGTTTCAATCAACTATATGTGAAATTAATCAGTGGCCAAGATTCAAATGCAACTGAATTTAAGAAAGCAAATTTTCTACTATCTCTCAGCCAGGGAATGTGTGGAGAAGTATGAATTACATAGCATTAAAGAATCATTTATGAATCACATTAAATCAAGTTCGTGGGTGGTAAAATAAATGTAATGAAACTGAGATAAGACAATTATCTTATTTCCTTAGTACAAAATTTAGTTGCAAGGTGTGAAATCAATGAGGTATATTCAGACAAATCAAAAGCTACCAAGCTTGTCAGCAACAAAAAGTATTTCACCACCAAATGTAAGAAAATATTCTTCTGAGTAGCTTCAGCCTGCATATCACTGAGTATCAAAAGTTCCTTAAATCACTAAAAGTACCAGAAGAAGACTGCTAAACTTTCTACAAAGCTATATCCATTCTTGCAGATTGGCAATTCATATGGGATTCTTCTCACCCTGGCAATTTATCTCCACTGCAATGTTAACAGTCCCTTAATTCCTTCTTGATAATGGCTGGGAAGGGATTATATAGTTACATTTCTGAGGCAATCTAGGAAAAAAACTCCTCTGGATGAGATCACTATTGAGAAGTTGTGGTACAATGGACACTTTTAAACAGAGGCTGTAAACCTTCATAATGTCCAGATCATGAAAAAATAGAGACCTTATTCAGGCATGATTAAACACGTGAAAGGCTCAATCTTGGTAGAGAAAGGGCTGCACACACAGGTCTCTCATACTTGCTCTAACCTCCACCCCTTCAGCTGGAAATTTTTGAGAAGGGCAACTGCTCTTAAATTCTGTTGAATTTAAGCTAAGCACAACATGCAAAATAATATTCTTTATAGTTGATATATGAACTGCTTTCTTTCTTTCAATTGTGATTTCCAGTTTAAAAATACACATATTTTACATGTTTTTACAAGAAGCCTATCTGCTCCTCCTCCTCAGCAATAGCACTTTACTGTTAAATATACATCCATTCCCAACAAGGCACAGAATTAAGGGTCCTTATCTTTAAAATTTTGAGAAATGTTATGACCACTTTAATAAAATAGTTATTTCAATGTGAGTGGACAAAGCAGAACAATTATTTACAAAAAAAGCTACTCCCCTCATCATTACACCCTGCTCGCTATAACATGTTTTTCATGTATTTTACTACATCGGTGGGTACAATTCTTAGGAGGCCCCTAAAAAGTTTATTTTCAATATGCCACAGGGACTAAATATCTGAGAGGTTATGCTTTGAATTGCAAGAGTCACAAAACCTTCTGCAGGCTATAAATGTGTGTCCCCTTTTTAAAAATTAAAATAATCCAAAAATAATAAAATCCTATAGGCTATGGAATCCAGCAAGTAGCATATTGATGTTTTTTTAAGATGGAAATTTTACTATATCAAATAGGGATATAGTAAAATTATAAACATGATATAAACATGATCACACAACTACCAAAGCTGATGCATTAACAAAATTAATTCCTTGCTTATTGTATATTAGGGTACACAATTTATAATCCGTGCATTAACTCCTGTGACCTTAAGAGTATTTCCAGACTACATATTGAAGTTATTTACTTATTTTATCTGCTTTTATACTATGATGAAATCTGACCCAGAGAGTCAGGGTTTTTTTTTTTTTGGGGGGGGGGGGGGGGTAGGGATTTCTCCTTCAGAAACAAACTTCTTAGAGATCTAAGATACCTGCTTTTCTCTCCAATGAGATGAATTTTACTATTGTTTCGAAGAAATCGCTTCAATTCCTCTCTTACCAAAAAGCTGATAGGGTACACTCTGGAGATATCATCACTTCCTTAGCTGAACTTCTTGTTGCCCTCAGAGATCAAATTAAAATAAAATGCAAATTCTGACTATAAAGAAAATATTAGTCCTAATTTACTAAAACTTGCAAAGAGCCACAAATATATATCCCATATAACATTCATTCATCTCTCTCAAAACATTGATTCTCAAAATACGGACAAATATAGATCTACTCATAGACAGTTGAGCTTCTGGATAACTATCAGGCTGTGTAAGTGTGTAATAACCTTTTTAAGAGTAAGCAATTTCTGAGGAGTTGGGGAATACACCTCAGCATCCCAAACTTCTGAAGGGCTATTGAAAGAGCAGGGCTAACTCTCAGTCTTTTTAAATTGTTGCTTTGGGAGTATTTAAGAGTTGGGGATAGGGATACAAGGGAGTAAAAATGAAATTCTTGAGATTGAACTCTTGCATGAAGTTCTAGGAGATATCTGGCGTGGTTGGAGGTCACTAGGTCATGAAATGTTTGTGAAGAGGTCACCCTTCCAGAATTAACCCCTCCCCCCAACAAAATAATAAAGGGAAGGAAACTAAAAGAAAAACTTAGATTACTAATATTAACACACAACACTTCAGATCTGAAATGGACTTATTATTGAAGAGAGTGCTTACTCTCTTGTTTCTTAACTTATGAAAAATACAAAACAAACATACCTCTGCAGTTAAATTTGGCGGTGTCATAATGTCTTTCAGCACATCTGAAAGAAAAAAGTTAAAATTGCATGAAGCATTATTCTATCATTTAGTAGGGGGATAAACCTATTGTATACAAATTCCTTTCTACAAGTTCCTTTCTACAATCAAATACTACAATCATAAAGAAAAGAGTGAAGTACTACTGTTCAGGTGTTCTTCATGACATATAGATAAATACAGGTACAAATAATTCTCGCCAACGGCTCTTTCAGCAAGTCATTCAAAATTGCAACAGGGCTGGAAAAAAAAAGATTTATGATCACTCCTCAAACCTGTAGCCATTGCAGTGTCTCTGCAGTCAAGTGACTGCAATTCAGGCTCTTGGCAACTGATGCACATTTTCAAGGATTGCAACATCACACAGTCACATGATCATCCTCTACCACCTTCACAGTTTCTGACAAGCAGTCATTGGGGAAGCTGACAGGAAGCCATAAGTCGCAGTCACCTGATGTAGCGCTAAAGACTGTAGGCAATTCGTTTAATCCCAATTACAGGTAGTCTTTGACTTATGAGCACAATGGCACCCAGAATTTATGTTGCTAAGTGAGGAATTTGTTAAGTGAGCTTTGTCCCATTTTACAACTTTTCTTGACATATTTATTAAGCGAAACGCTGCAGTTTGTTCAAATAGAGACACAATTGTTAAGTGAATCTAGCTTCCACATTGACTTCGCTTGTCAGAAGCTCACAAAAGGGGATCACATGATCCCCAGGACACTGCAAATGTAATAAATATGAACCAGTCGTCCAGCATCTGAATGTAAATGATGTGACCATGGGGATGCTGCAATGGTCGTAAGTGTGAAAAATGGTCATAAGTCACTTTTTTCAGTGCTGTTATAACTTCAAATGGTCACTAAATGAAGTGTTGCAAGTCAAGAACTACCAGTAAATGCAGCTGGAACTAACACCATTAAGTAAGATGTGGTTGCTTGAAGTTTCACTTAATGACCACATTTCTTAGCAATGGATTAGTCTCAATTACAGTGGGTAAAAGATGAGTACTTGTACATTTGAAAACATTACAGCTATGTATAGAATTCTTGTTTGTGGCATTAATGTGACAATCACTATTCACCTAAGTCCTAATAAATTTCTACTTTAAGTACTAAAATTACAGTGCACATAAATCTGAAAATAATTGAAAAATGTGATTATAGGAAAGATGATTAACTCAAATAAAATGTGAGTTCATATCACCGTTCAGGTATAATATTCCTCGGCAAATCTGGAACTAAATATACATTTCCTTTTCTAATAACTCTCTTCTACAAACAAATAAAAGCAACTCCTACCTAAATAACACTGAACTGAGTAGCGAAGCAGGTAATATAAGAATGCCCCTTATTCCTCTTAAACATCAAACCTAGATTTCAATATGAATATATTGAATCTTTTTTAAAAATTACACTAAGAAAATCAATATTAAAATATTTTTATACCTGCTTTTCCTAATAAGGATCATTAGGAATTAAACTCCAAATTCTCAATTACTTTACAGAATAAAGTAGCATCTCAACTTATGAGTTATTAATGCTTCAATTCTCTTTTTACTCATTATGAAATCATTCACTTGCTAAAACTAAAACAAGTTTAGGTGATATATCATTGTTTCATAGGGTTCCTGTTAAAGAACCAGGTTGTACAAGTGAGGCAGGCAGTGCACGAAACCACATCCCAGCCCACGGAAAAACTGCCCTCCACGGAACTGGTCCCTGGCATCCAAAAGGTTGGAGGCCACTGTTCTAATGCATTTTAATATATTTAAGGCCAGTAACTATAGAATCTACGTAAAAAAACATACTTACAGATTGTATATCTTGTAATGGTTTTTATGTTTTGAATCCAGAAACCTTGAAAGAAAAGTGATACATTAAACTCATTTTGATATTTAAAAAAAAATTAAATAAAATAAGTTAGAGAGCAATTTGATCAAATAATATTTTATGGATATAACACATCAACTACTGCTTTTCTCGTATGTATGTATGTATGTAAAGATATATGTATATGTATGGTATTCAGCTTTGTTCGGGTATTTTCCCACGTCTAATATTATAGTTGTGCTTTTAAAGTTGTAGCAACGTTTCAGCAGAATCTCATCTGCCATCATCAGGCTTCTGTATTGTGTTCATCTGTGAGTCAGACTTTCACAGCCGTTTCAGTTTTAAATTTGGGGCTAGCCTACGCTGTGCCAGAATGGTTTTTTCTTCATCCTGATTGGTTGGGAGTCTTGGTCTGTGTTTATTGGCCTTGGAATTTGCTGTGTTCTGCTTGATTGGTGTTTCTAATATCTTCTGTCTGTTTTGTAGCTTTTTTTTGTCTTGATTGGCTGGCAACATTGTGTTTCCTGTATTGGAGGCTTTTAGTGCAGCTTGGCTCCGAGTAAACGGATGGCTATCATTTATTAGGAAGCTAGGTTTCATCTGGGTGCCTGGTTGGGGTGTGTTTGAGCTGGAGGTATCAGGGGGAGTCAGTTTGTGCCCAGGTGTTTTCCTGGTTTGTGGTGTGGATATTTTTTTTGTTTGAGAGTACAGGCTTCCAGATAATTGACAGTCTGGTGGAGTCATCTCTTCTATTCATGCTTTCAGGTCTTTTTTCAATCTCTGTGGCTTCTCTGATAATTCTGTGGCTGGGGTTTTCTATAGTGGTTAGGGTTTTGGTGCCATTGAAGTCGATGCTATGACCTGTGGCTTTCATGTGTTGGACTAGTGAGTAAGTGTGTTCCAGCTTTTTTACTGCATTTTTGTGTTCATCCAGGCGGGTACTTATTCTTCTATTGGTCTGTCCAATGTATGTGGCCAGGCATGATGCACAGGGGACTTCATATATGCCTTGGTTTTCCAGGTCAGTTTTATCTTTGGGGTTTCTAAGGATGGCTGCTATTTTTCTGTCTGTTTTGAAGGCAGTCTTGATGTGATGCCTGTGTAGTATATTACTGATTTTGTCTGTAGTACCTCTTATGTAGGGCAGGACAGCCACAGGTCATAGCATCAACTTCAATGGCACCAAAACCCTAGCCACTATAGAAAACCCCAGCTACAGAATTATCAGAGAAGCCATAGAGATTGAAAAAAAGACCTGAAAGCATGAATAGATGACTCCACCAGACTATCAATTATCTGGAAGCCTGCACTCTCAAACAAAAAAATCTCCACACCACAAACCAGGAAAACACCTGGGCACAAACTGACTCCCCCTGATACCTCCAGCTCAAACACACCCTAACCAGGCACAGATGAAACCTAGCTTCCTAATAAATGATAGCCATCCGTTTACTTGGAGCCAAGCCGCACTAAAAGCCTCCAATACAGGAAACACAATATTGCCAGCCAATCAAGACAAAAAAAAAGCTACAAAACAGACAGAAGATATTAGAAACACCAATCAAGCAGAACACAGCAAACTCCAAGACCAATAAACACAGACCAAGACTCCCAACCAATCAGGATGAAGAAAAAACCATTCTGGCACAGCGTAGGCTAGCCCCAAATTTAAAACTGAAACGGCTGTGAAAGTCTGACTCACAGATGAACATAATACAGAAGCCTGATGATGGCAGATGAGATTCTGCCAAAACGTTGCTACAACTTTAAAAGCACAACTATAATGACGTGAGAAAATACCCGAACAAAGCTGAACACCATACATATAAATACCCGTGAAAACTTAAGAAAACATATATATACATATATACATACATACATATACATATACGTACATACATACATACATACAATACAGAATGTGCAGTAGTAATTTTCTTTCACTATTCTAGAAAATCCCAATATTCAACAATTATAGTTAAATTTTACTCATGTGCTGTGTGGTTATTGGTATGTCAACAATTGAAATCATTCCTTCAAATGCTGGGGCATTGCACCATTTATCAAAAACCACTCATAAAATTTATCACACATATTTAGACAAGTGTGATTATTTCTTGCATAATCATAATCTAACTTCATCAATCAATATTTCTCAAACTGAAAAAAAGTTTAGCAGAACCAGTTCTTAACACATCAAACATCAATGAGATTTAATAGAGGTTAAATAACTGAGAGTTTAAAAGGGGATCTAAGTTTCTTAGGGCAAAGATGTCAGTTATCTAAATAATCAACAGCTTCAAAACTGAAAAGTCCAAGGCAACAATCTGTAAGCTATGAGAAAGGCAGGACAAAGCAGCACCAGATTTAAGCTGTAGTTTGGATAAGAAAAGACTATATGCTAATGACGGTAGAGAAGATCAACTGTTTATACTGGCTTCATCTTGGTACGGAATAAAGATTCCTATCTAGTCTTGTTGAGTAGACTGTCTGGGAAGCTTTTGCTGAGTTCTAGCTTGGACACCTGACAAAATCTGTATGCTATGATAAATCATCAATTCAGGATTTCAAATGTATTTATGAATTATTGTTTACTTATAGGTAATTCAATCTACATTGTTAGTATTAAAGTATCTGTTTAATTGTGGCTTCAATGGTATTTAACTACTTAGATAAACTGATTAAGCTTTATGCATCAGCACATTGCTACTGCACACTTGAGACAGAATTAATGGTTTAGTGTTATTGCAAAAATGGACAGATATTTGTTATACATGCCAGCTCATAAATTATGATTATTTCACCCCTAAATCCCAGAGAAAAAATGTATAAAAATGTATTCTTATAGCGATGTATTGAAGTACATCCAAATCCTGCGTCCTTCATAAAGCTTCAATTTTAGAGTCATAAATAATACATAAATGCAGTTTTTTATAGGATTATTTTACTCATTTTATCTTGAGATAAAGAATCAGAATGCTATTCCTCAAATTCTAGATCTTCTTGTCCAAAATATGCCATACTATTAGTACATGATATATGATAATTAATATTTTTAAAGTCCTTTTTTCTGAATAATTTACTATCATAGCAAGTTAACCATGATTCTTTTAAAAGCACGTTTTAACAAATATATATTGTAGTAATATCAAGCTGAATTGTAAAATATTTTAGATTTGTATTTAGTTAATATATTTGTCGTTAAACAGATTACTTTTAAAGTCTAACTTGGTTAAAAATTGCATTACAGTGTAATAAAAGTTTTATTCACTTTGGGTATATACAAATTAAACTAATCAGTATATATAATCTGAGAAGTAGTAATATATAGATATAGATTAACAGAGTTGGAAGGGACCTTGTAGGTCATCTAGTCCAACCCCGCCGCCCAAGCAGGAGAGCTACACCATTTCTGACAATATATTGAAGCTTCTTTTTTCAAGTATTCATTTGCTGAAATACAGTTCGTGCAACTGAAATACCTCCAGATTTGATCTATCCATGAAATGTATTTGCACAGAACAATTCTCAAATCATAACTGATTCTTGTTCTTTTGACAACTTACTACCCTCTTCATAGTCTATTAAGCTTCATTGTCAAGTTTCCGGATGAGAAAATGAATCAACAGAAAGCCAGTAAGTCAAAACCACAAATGTAACCAGTTTAACAGTTCCAACATTAAAGTACTTATTTCAAGATTCTTTTGTTTGCTCTAATACCTATTTTTAAAGTATTTCAATTAATAAGACGAATCAGGTCTTTGGAAGAAAGGCACCCTATTCTTCAGTTTTGCTTTTTAAAGAATTGTTTTATCCTTTTTTAAATCTCTGAATGCAACTGGATGCAACTAAAATACCAAAATTCTTCCATTCTCTATAACATTTCCTACCAGAAATAGTATTGATTAATTCTGCATATGGAGCAGATTGAGTTTGTACAAGAAAACATTTTATCATTACTATTATAATGATACTATTAATGATGAGTGGAACTAGTCAGAGTGAAACTTTTACTCTCAAATTTAAATCAAATATAAACTGTTGGACCTCCAAAAATCAAAGATATCAAAGATTTCAAGGCTTCCTGTTTCAAAATATGCATACAATGTATGATGTATGTATATTATATAGGGTATAAGGAATGTTGTTATCTATTTAATATGAATGCAATTTGTCTCGTAATTACAGTATTTTTATTTTTTCCTTTTGAATTTTTTTGTTTTCTCTTTTTTAATCTGTTTTATTAAATAATTGATGATTACATGTCATTAAGTTACTGTCAACTCTTAGTGAACACATGGAAATTTTTTGAGGATTTAATAAAGAAAGCAAAAACTTCTGATCTCAACAGAAAGATAATCACTTTGTCATAGCTTCTTCTTGAAGACAGTTAAAATAAGACAACTGGAATTGCACTGGGTACTAGTTTTACTACAAAAGTAATCAGTCTGAACACTAGGCAGGATAAAAATGGTAAGAGATTGATCTATGTAGTATTTAAAAAGCCAACTGAATTGAGATCATGTTTATTCTCCAAGTTAGAACTGATAATACTTGAGGCAAGTTTAGAGAAGTTTAGGAATCATTGTAGACATCTACCATAAAAACAGCTGCTTTTATAGCTATCCCAGGCTGAGTACATATTTATGCCAAACTGTGGCATGACCCATAGTTTGAGGGGAAAGGCACCTTGAAAAGCTACAAAGCAATTGTGCTGTGCTTTTTAGAGGAAGTGACAGCCTTAATACTATGAGGGGGTTTTCACTTCACCTCTCTGAAAGCTTTAAATTAAATACGTGGTTCAAGGATCTCAGCCTCCAAATTATAACTGTGACATAAAGAACTGTGTCTATATAAAACTATTCAGTCCTATAAATCATATGCAATAAAGAAGATGCTAGGTCTGAGGGAACAAAAGATTCTTTTATTGTTTGGCAGTTTTAACTCGAAGTACTACTTATTTTTGTTTCTCTTTTAAAATAATCCTATTTTTACCACCCTGCACCATACATATGTACTCTAATTGACGATAAAACTTGTATGATAGTAACATTAAGTAACAGTTATGGTATTATAAAAAAATTAAACACCAAATTGTTTTGGATAAGTTTCCGTTCTCACACTCAAATGAAAGTTTTCTAAGCTCAGTTTAAAAATAAATTATTTTTAATTTTTTAAAAAAATAAACAAAGGAAGCAGCAACAATAAAGGAAAAGTTTTCAAAAAGAAAATGTATTTGCTATATCTGTGGCCTGGTATTGGAGGAATATGTTCACAGATAGTGACAAATTAAAATGGGATTGTTACACTTAATATCCAGATAGTAAAAGAGAAAAATATTATTTGAAGCAACCAAATTCATTCACCGCTTTTGTGCCGTTGTGCTTTTATGGAAACTTTTGTAAAACTTTTTGCAAGGTAGTAAAATAATTTCAGGTCAATTCTCATAGGTGGGATGGTAAGATTTTTTGTAACAATGATCTGCCTTCCACATATAATCATCTCCCCAGTGATCTACCAGTTTTTCCACAGCTTCCTCTGCTTCAATAACATCCCAAGGGAAGATATTATGAAATGGCCTTTTCAGATTTTGAACCTCGGGCAGCCAAGGAGGCTTTAGAATTATGGAGGGTTAACAAATGTGCATGGGGGGGGGGGGGGGGAGGAGACCAACAGCACTCAGTACTATACCCAATGTGAAAGTAAAAGAGGGGAAACTATCTTTCAGTAAGAAATAACTGAAATTTGATAAAGAGTTTTTATTGTATTACTAAATAAGCAATAATTGGAATATTTAATTCCTCTATTATAAATTTCATAGGCAAAAATTTTCAAACTAAGCAGTCAGGCTAACAAACACATCCAGCCTACTGAAAGATCAATACCATATAGTTCTACAAAATCATCATGTGAAAGAACAATTCTACTGTTGATGTTTGAAAAGTAGAAGGTTTATTAAAACTTATTTTTTAGTTTAGCCAGGAATAAGCTAACTGTTTGACAGCTGAAAGGCCATTTCCACAAGAATTAATGACTTCAATGGATGGGATAGTGATGTAATTACTGAGAGGCATGGATGGGGGAATATTTTTTTATATATATTAAATTTTACATATATTAAATTCAAAGCTTAGTACTTTCTTAGCTCAACTGAATGCTTTTGCAAAACAGAATCCAAATTTTCAAAATACTTTTATTCTCTAATCAATTCTTATATGCTGGCATCACTAGTTAGTTTCATTCATTCATTCAATTCAGAATGGTAAACATATTGAAAAACAACAAAATATTAAGCTTGTCATTGAGACAAGACATTGAAAATACATTCTTACCTCACAACGTCATCGATATTGTTTCTGTACACTCCTTCAAGTCGTTCTGCCGGAAAACCCATTGCAATGATATTTGGATAAATATCTGAATATTCGTGTTAAAGGAAATGTTTACAATTTTTTACAAAATTGCAGACTAATTGTTGTAAATACTTCAAGTATTCAATTACATAATTTGAATTTTAAAAAATTGATCAGCTACACTAAGCAGTGCTTCCTTAAAACTGGCTTATCACTTAATTAGTTGTTCAACTTAAAAGAAACAGCAACTAAAGGGACTATTACAGCTAACCCTCACTAAACAACCAAAATTGAGCCCAGAATTTTAGTCATAACTTGTTGCAGTCATTAAGTGGGTCACCATGACTTGATTTTACAACTATCTGTAAAATAGTTTCACCACAATCATGAAACAAACCACATGATCACTAAGCAAATTAATTCTTACAAATGAGCATTTTTTGCCAGAAACCACAGAATACTGGTCATAAATGCAAGCCAGCTGCCAAGCACCTGAAATGTGACCATATAATCACAGGGATGATGTGTGTGCATGACAGTCATAACTTTGAGGACAGATCATACATAACTTTTGGGGGAACCCATCATAACTTTAAACAGTTGTTAAGCAAGTAGTACATTTAACAAAAACTGTCTTCCCACGTAACTTCACTCTTTCAGCAATATGATATAGAATTATAAAAAATCTTTTCCAAAGAATCTAATAAAATCATTGCGTTCATTATGTACATTAGTGCTTATTTTAAATATATGTACTTAAGGTCAAACAGTATTATTGCATCATGACTGCATCATGAATATACAAGTATAACCTTTGTCTAAACTTAGGAACCAGGTAAGACGTTCATAACCATGTACATCACCAGAGATAACAATACTATGCCCAACTAACCATTAAATAGCAGCTACTTCCACAAACCACAACTTAGTAGTACTGGAAGACTAATATAACAAAACAGCCTTTAAGAATGTAACCTATTTGTAAGTAGAGGCATGTCTGTATTACAATATACTAGGACCTGCCATAACAAGACGACGCCATGATTATTGTAAAGGTAGGATAACAGGCAGGAGGTTGAAAGAATAGAACAACTTTATTGTTACTTTGACTGTACACTAATTGGAATATATTAAAAATGAAATTTCGTTGCATACAGCTCTCAAACGGCCACCACATCCAATATACACTACATAAATATGACTAAATAAATACAAAATTATGTATATACCCACATATGTATATATACCCAAATATGTTTACTGTGAAAGGATTTCAAGGAACAAGTATTCTCCATATAATTCATTTAGTTGTCATCACTGACTCCCAGTGAAGCAAAAGAAACACATCATGGACAAAATAATGGATCTTTTCTCTTGACCGGATTTTTTTTCTCACTGAAGTTTTTTACCTTACTAGATTTGTTTAATTTAAATGTAAGTAGAAAAGCACAGATTTTCTTTCCCATGGTTGCTGTGCTTTTGCCTCCTTTCTGAAAGGAGGAAATAGCCCAATTAGACCATGTTGCTATCATATCGTTGAATAAGGATTAATGAAAAAGGAAACTATTTAATCTTCAAATGTTGTGGCTGAAGATTTCTCAAGTGCCTTAACTCTTTTGTTAGAATTACACAATGGAAGAAGTCTACAGAAAATACTACTCTTAATTACCCACGAAAAGTCACCAATTTATGGCCAATTTTGCTGAAAAAAAATTACACACACACACACACACACACACAGTATATATTTATTGTTTCCTAAGGCCAGCCTGGATTACAGATTCCCCAAAAAAGCATGTAAACTGGATAAAGAATGAGGAACAAGGTTTTTTTTTTCTTTAATTATTTTGTACTATTCATAAAAACAAAAGTTGTAGAAGACTTGCTTTAACACAGAATTGTAACATCCATCCTTACCTTTAAAATGTAGGTACAAACACAAAGAAAAAGATAAATTTAATTATACATACATAGAATGTATGTAAAATTATACATACATAAATATATAGAATTCTCTTATTTGCCCAATGCTATTTTCTTTCAAGTGGAAAATAACTAAAAGAAAAAGTGCTACAAATTTCTGGCTAGCAACACAAGTGTCTAATAATAGATGAAAAAAAAAACAATCAAATAACTAAAATTCAGCTAGGTAAGCTTGCATCAATTAACCAAGAACATTAAAAGTTATAAACAGGTTTTTAAACAGCAATTAAAAAAATATGATAAGAGTGAGAAAGCATCATAAGTCATGATAACCAATGATCAAGGCAAAAACAAAATAGGTGAAGTATATTAAAATCAAAGCAGATTTAATGAGTTCACTATAGATTCCATCAGTGTTAGCTGGGTTCTCAGAACCATTAGCACTCATATATGACAAATCATGCAAAATTGAAAATCCTAAAATATTCAAACACAGAATGCTTGAATGGAAAAAAAAAGAGAAAAGGAAATAAGCAAAAAAAAAAAAGCTAAAATATTTTTGAACTGTTTACTCTTAGCCATTTATTGGATTATTTATTGGATTTGTATGGCTGTCTAACTCTAAGACTATGTAGATAAATACATGTTAATCAAAAGAACTAAAATAGCATGATTACTTGATCTAAAACAATATAGTTAGTCCTCAATTTTCTACCATAATTGGGACGTTAGCAAAAAAAAAAAGCTGATTTGTTTTGGCCATTCCTGTGCCAAACAGCTAATGTTTTTTTAAAAAGAAAAAAAAAAATACGAGAAGCAATCCGCATTAAAATCCCATCTTCCTGCCTCCGTGAGAATCCAAAGAATTTAACTCTGCCTTTTTTTTCTCTGAGTTCTTGTTAAACGCGTCTCTCTGGAGCTAACACTGAGTTAAAACTGGGACACAGTCAAGAGAGGCATGGCTACAAAGTTTAAAAGGACTCAGTCTCTGGGCAGAAAGGTGGAGTTTTGGATTCTCTGCTCAGCACATTGGAGAAGAACTAAAAAAGCATGATTACTTGATCTAAAACAATATAGTTAGTCCTCAATTTTCGACCATAATTGGGACCAAAACGTCTGTTGCTAAGTGTTAAGTTAGTCATACCTGAATTTATGACCTTTTGGCTGTGGTCATTAAGCAAATCATGTGGTCACTAAACAAATCTGTCTTCTCCTACTAACTTTGCTTATTGGAAGCCCCTGGGAAAGTTGAAATAGTGATGTTGTGACCCTCAGTCTCTGCAACCATCATAGATACACATGTTGGTTGCCAAGAGCTTGAAGGTTAATCACATGACCATGGGGATATTGCAATAGTTGTAAGCACAAGAGTTGGCTATGTCATCTTTTCAGCACGTAACTTTACTACTGTAAACAGTAATTAAATGAATGAGTGCAAGTCAAGGACCACCAATCTATAGTTTCTAATAAATTGTGGCAACATGTTTCTCCTTTTCTCTATAGTGACTCAATAAGGAAGATGTCCTATTTTTTACATAGAGTAATTCTGCAAAATCTTCTAATTAGTCTTCAGCATGATACCATAAGACTCAACTGCAATTTTTTAAAAAGAAAACGTGAATCCAAAAGGAATATTTAGCAATGCATTACAAATCCTTAAAATTGTTAGCTATGATTTGGCTGTAGAATATGACAATACAATAAACAAAGGCAAAACTGATCCAAAATGAAGACTATGCGAATTGTATTTAAGTGGACAATCAGGTGTATTAGAGTTTTTCTTAGAAATGTAACCAGCTGCACTTCTATGGAAAATGTAGAAGTAAAATTAAATAAAAGTTAAATTATGTAATGAACATGCTGTCACAAAGGACCAATGCCCTCAGAAATTACACTGTGGAACACTGTTCAAAATATTTAGTACTATCTGAAAAGGTTTAAAACCATTTTGTACCTTTGCATTCAATATTGATAAAAATCTATTTTTTGTTTCCGAATATAAGAATTTAGATGGAAAACATTCACAATATAGAAGCAGCTCAGTTACATGAGAACAAAGAGACATCTAGTTCAACATCTTGTTTCTAACATGGCCAAACAGATGCTTCCAGAAACCTTCATGCCCTGCTTGCAGGCTAACAGCCTTTTTCCTGCTTACCAGCTGTTAGCAATCATAGAAGTTCCATTTAGTAATCATAGTTATTCAGTGCTGACAAATTTCTCCTTCTTAAATTTGTCTTATCTAAGTCAGTGGACACTCATCAAAAAGGAAGATTGAAATTTTATCACAACAAAATATTTTATGAGCTAAATATATTCAGCATATTCAGAATGATAACAATTGGAAAAATACTTTCAACAAAGGGAAACAGATTTAGATTCAAAATTAGAGGAAAAAAAGCTTGCTAGATTAGGGAGACTGAAAATGTATGGATGTAACGTTATATATCCCCACATTCACATTTTGGATTAGCTTAACAGTATTTTCAGCATAAGACAAAGCACAGAAACTGGACAAATATTGCTGATTTAGAAATCAGGAATATTTTGGAATTACAATTTCAGCAAAATCCTTTGTATGTTCACTTCCATCAAAGCTGGTGGGAAATTGAAACCTGACTACAGGTAGTCCTCAACTTACAATCACAACTGATCCCAAAATTTATGTTACTATGGTGAGAAATTTGTTAATTGAATTTTGCCTCGTTTTATGACTTTTCTTGCCAGATTTGTTAAGTGAATCACTGCAATTGTTAAAGTTGGTAACACAGTGGTTAAGTGAATTTGGCTTTCCCGTTGACTTTGCTTGTCAGAATGTAAGTCACATGACCATGGGAATGCTGCAACAGTTGTGTGAAAAATGGTCTTAAGTCATTATTTCAGTACTTGATATGTGATAATTTCTTTCCATTCTGAGGTGGAAATAAAAAAAATATACATTTTACCAGGCTTGACACTTTTTTTAAAAAACACCTCTACTCGTCAGCCGAGGAGCAAAATAAAAATTTAAACTATATATATGCAACACAACCTCTTCCATTTTGTGTACTCACTCAGTTGCACTCTCAGCATACATACAAAAGCACACATGCAAGCAAAATATGTCTCATCACCTAAAGTTGTCAATCCCTGATATAATTT